GGGGGCTGACGTTCACCAGGTGGTGCCAGGCAGCCTCGAGCCATTGCTGGTAGGCTTGCAGCAGCAAGTCCAGAACGTGCACCAGAAGGTGCAGGGCGAGCCGTGGCTCCATGTTGCCACCTGCGGCGGCCCCCCCGAAGGGAAGCACCGACACAGATGGGCACAGAGACCAACGCTTTGCTGTCCCTCGGCGAGGTTGGCAAGCAAGCAGGAAAAGCTGAGAACCGGCTGTCCAGGGGGGTCCCTTTAAGCTCGAGCCTCAGATAGCCGCCACGCAAAGCAACTACTGACCTGATGCCCTGCCAGAACCTGTTTCAGCTGCCCTTAAATGCCCCCCTGCGTCCAGTGTGGACGCGCTAGTTTGAATTAGCAAAACGCTAATTCGAACTAGTTTTTAGTTCTAGATGCGCTAGTTCGAATTAGCTTAGTTCAAATTAACTAATTCGAACTAAGTTAGTTCAAATTAACTAATTCGAACTAAGTTAGTTCAAATTAGCGCTGTAGTGTAGACGTACCCTTAGATACTTTCACTAACCCACTTCTCCGGTGTAGTGCATAAGCAAGGAAAGTGCCCCACTGGTGACTGTATGTTAGAACATTAAGATCAACGACATTACAAGCCTGAGGGACCAGGCCTTCCACCAGAGATAATGGACCCCACCAAAGGTGCTGACAGCAGAGTCAGGCGTGCTGAAGTCTGAGAGGCACCATCCCCGAGGAGGATATGCGGACACCACAGGTCACAGTGGGCAGCCCAAGAGAGGTTCGCTGCATTGCACTGGACTCCATGAGAAAGTGCCATCTCACTCCCGCCGGAGAGGAGAGGGCTCACCGATAATGGTCTGCCACAATGGAGAGGGGGGTTCATCCCAGGATCCAAGGGGTGGTACTCACCAGCTCTGTGATTCTTGTGGAACCAGAGCATGGTCACGTGTCAGCCCTGTGGTTTTGGCCAGCCAGGGAGACACCTTCATTTAGAATCAGACCCCTTTCTCAGGCCTCTACTAGATTTAAAGACAAAGCAATGAAAAAGCCATGAAGACACACCTAAAATGCCTCAGACAGTGGCGATAATAGTAATGAAACACCCCACCCTCATTCACATTGAAGATGGGACAGAGGGACATATCATTAGCCTACAGAATGGAGACCAGCTATTCCAAAGCCATAACTGCACTGAACTATGGTATACCGAAACCAGAGAGGCACTGCTTGATGGGGAATCTCAGATCAAGATGATACAGAAGCCAGGCCTGCTCACACCAACATTATTCAGTATCATACCAATTGTAGTAATGATCCTATTGACATTCAAAATACTCACTGCCTAGCTGCTTTGTGACCTCCATTAAGGAAGAACACCCATATTCAGGGGTGATCATTCCCTTTTGTCACACCTCTGTTTATGTTACAGGTACTCTCCTATCCCCATTCTTCCTTTGCCTTGGAGAAACTTTTCTGATTTCTGAATTTTATACTGGATAAGCTTCATTGAGAGAGCAACACCATCTCCTTTCTGATCGTGTTGTGGCTTCTGCTGTGTGTTTCTTCAACCCTCGGGACCCACAGCTACCTTCACCATCTGCGAACCCTGATCAGTGTACAGTTCCATTGAGTGGTGAGTTCCCTCCCTCTCTCTCTCTCTCATTCCCCCACCCCAAACTACCTCTGTAAGCATAGCCTCCTGAGCTAGGACAGTGGGGATAAGGGGGAGGGGGGCGCCAAACCGGGGGGCATATGAGGATGGCATCTTAAAGTGCTGGCTTATCCATCCCATTGAGTCCACAGGCACATGAGGGTGCAGTGTGACATTGCTGTTAAACCCAGCATGCTGAGTCCATAGATATATGATGTATCACCTTGAGAGTGATGATTACCCAATCCTCTAAGGGGTAATTGACTATTGAAATACAAGTTCATGATTTATAAAATAAATATAAAAATATAGTAGCTGTGCAAAGGTGAACTCTGTTCCCTTGGAATACTACTTATATAATGAAAAGTTAATGTGATCATATTATTCCATCCAAACTAGGTTGTGCGCTGTCCGACTTGCCAGAAACAGGGAAAGGAATTTAATGTGAATACCACCTTGAGAAGCATAAAGGTGCATTTTTGAATCAGACATTTATCAGTTGTGACAAAGCTAGGTCCTTAAGTCAGTGTGTCCCACATTTCAGGGCAGATTTTGATAGCCTCAGAGGCTATCTGTTAGCCTCCATGTAGCCATTATTTCTCTAGTGGCAAGGGTCACAGCCTCCTGGGCCAGTGTCATCATATGCCAGCAGTGAAGATGAGGAGAAGCAACAGTCTCCTGCACAGTCTCTGTTGTCTCCCATTTTCAGTGATTAATCGTGGAGGAGAGGGATGAGCCCGGGCCCTCCCTCTAGTCTGGGATCCATTCCAGAGGCCATAATAATAGTAGCTAGGGTAGCTATATTTCCTTCCTTACTTTTTAATATCTTTTAAAAAGAAATCTCTTCATTATGATTCTGTTGAAACCACATTACATTGTGTATTTTGCAAAGAAATTATGGGTAGATTTGATACATTTGTGTGAGAAAAATGTGAAGGATGACTTACTGTTAACCCTGACTTATAGAAGACTCGTGTCTGGGAATTGTTGGGAATGGATTTAATGTGACCATTACCAGTAACAAAGAAGGGATACCAGTATATAATGACAGTCATAGATTATGTTTCAAGATATCTGTTTGCGTATGCACTTCAAAGTCAGCCAGCATTTGTGGTTGGAAAGAAAATGTACAACATGATTACTATATGTGGATTACCACAGCGGATGCTGACCGATCGTGGACCTGAATTCAATAATAAGGTAATGATTTTTTTAAATAATCTCAATAATAAGGTTATAATTTTTTTACAGATTGGTTTCAAAATCTATTCAACCTAAACATCAGGTCTCAGATAGCTGACAGTAAACATGGGTTTCAGGGCACTTCTGATTTCTATAAAAGAAAGGCACAGTGTTCTCAACCAGTGTTCAAGAACAATCAACATCCTTTTTTTAAGAAAATGCTGTTAGTCACTGTGACAGTTGCTCTAAAAATTTTCAGGGTCGTCTTCCTATCGGTCAGTAGAAAGAACAATAAAGTTGCTTCCAATAGTAGTATTAAAAGATGGACTATTAAAATTGATAATTATACATAACCCTTATGGCAAATAGGCATAGGAACAGTCCTTAAGACAATTCTATATTTAAGTTAATGATGTAACGTCTTTTCTTCCAGTTTAATATGTATCTATGCAAAAATTCGGAATACAACATAGCTTCTCCACCCCGTACCATCCTCAAACCAATGGCTTGGTTGAAAACGCTAATAAAACCCTCAAAAGGTAAGTGAATGGGTGACAATATTACATTCATAATGGCAAGTAGAGTCTGCTGTGGCAGAAAATGCAATTCACTAATGAATCTTCAAGATCAATGTTTTAGATTGAAAGTATTTCTTTATTAATCATTACACATGTTTGCTTATGTATTATCAGTTTCAGTCTACAGTAAACATGTGCTTTTTGATCCCCAAGAAACAGCTCAATGATAATTTCTTACTGAGCATTAGAGAAAATGGTTGATGACAACGGGAATAATTGAGATGAATTAATTCATCCAATTTTGTTTTCCTTGTGAAATGTGACGGGCCGCCAGCAACCCACACAGGAGACTGCCGGGGTCGCCGTGCCGCACAAAGCAGCGGCCAGACCCAAGCCCCTCTCCCCGGCCTCGGCACGGGCGGGGGAAGCCGGCGGGGCCACGCTCAGCCTCCGCGCCTGCGCCGGTGGGGAAACGCTGGTCCCTCCCCGGAGACCACACTAAACGGGGGCAGGGCGGAGCTGGACGGCCGAGAAAACCGGCACGCTGTTGGAAGGGGAGGAGCCCTGGGCGGCGTCCGGTGCGGCTTGGCCAATTTAAAAAGGCTCACCGCCAGCGAGGGAGGGGGCAGTCTCCTCGCAGAGAGGGAGGAGAGCCCCCGAGCGCAGGATGGACCCCGAGCAGCACCGAGGCCGGCAGACGGCCCGGCCTCAATCTACGGGTTCTCAGGACGGGCACCACTGCCGGTGAGTCCCGGCTCAGACGGTGACTGGACTCCACCCCGCTGGCCCTGGAAGGAGCGGCCTGGCAGGGACCGGACTTGGCGGAGAGAACAGACTCCCGGGGCCTCATCAGAGCGACACTGGACCCCGACTCCAGAACCGAGGCAGGCTTTGAGAACTGGGGCGGCAGAATGAAGGTACAGGGGAAGGGAGGAAGAAGCCCGGGGCAGGGCCCCTTTGGCATCTGTGGGTAGACGGGTTACGGCAGGAGTGACCCCCCCGTCTACCGCGTCGGGGCGCGAGCAAACCCCAACGCTTAGGGCCCCGGGCTGGGACTCAGAGAGGGTGGGACCAGGTCCCCCACCCTCGCCCCCGAGGAGCATTCAATCCTGGGCAGCGCCAGGTGGTGGAGTATGTGGGCAACAGCCCCCTAAGCCGGAACCCAAATCAAAAAGTATTTTTTACCTAGGGGAAGGAGTTCGAGTGACAGAGCTATGGATCCACAACAGCTGTTGGACTGGGTGGGAGAAACCTAGCGCCAGCAACAGCAGCAGCAAGCCCAGATGATCCAGCAACTAGCTACACAATTCCAGGACCAGCATACCTAATGACATTCGAACGAGTGGCCACTGCAGCAAGATGGCCAGAGCGCCATTGGGCCACCTTGTTGGCTCCCTATCTAACGGGGCCTGCACAAATGGCTTACTGAGGCTTGGCGACCCAGGATGCACTGCAGTATGGGAAAGTAAAAGAAGCCATCCTGGACCAGCTGGGAATAACCAGCGACACCTATCGGCAGAGATTTCGTCGCGAGCGGTTTAAACCCGGAGAACGGCCCCGGGCTTTCGCGCAGTGGCTGCACGAATGGGCATGGCGCTGGTTGGAGCCTGAGCAACGCTCCGGCACTGAGGCGGTCATCCTCGAGCAGTACGTGCACCTTCTAGCCCAGGAAGCACAGAAGTGGGTCCGGAGGCACCAGCCCACAACGGTGGCCGAGGCTCTCTCGTTCATTGAAGCCCATCTGAACGTGGAAGGAGGTGAGGTGGGTGAACGGTGCGAGTCAATGCTCGGCCCCCCCGAGGGATGCACCATGGGAATGAGGGGGCGGGCCAGCCCCACCCAAGAGCACCCCTAGGCCTACCTTTGGGGGAGGGCGCCGGTTAGCTCCAGTGTGGCCCAGCAAGCCTGGGGACAGCTACCAGGAGACGAAAAGGGAGGCTGAAGAGAAAGCAGGGGAGGGCCGCAGGATGGGGATCCGGAATGCTTGCTACCAGTGTGGGCAGGAAGGGCATTTCAAATGAGACTGTCCTCAAATGGATTGCACCATAAGTCAGGCAACCCAGGGAGGACATCCGCCAACCCCGCCTGAACAGCCACGACCAACAGTGACCATGTGGCTCAGACAGAAGCTCATGAAGGCCCTCATGGACTCCGGCTCTGCGCTTACCTTAATCCACGAGGACCTTATTCCCGACACCCCGGCCACCGGGGAAACCGTCTGGATGAAGTGCATACACGGGGATGTAAGAGCCTACCCCATCATGTGGGTACACCTGGCGGACGGCCAGCTGGCAAAGATATGGCGAGTGGGGAAAGCACCCGTGCTGCCATGCCCGATAGTGCTGGGAAGGGATTGGCCCGGGTTCTCTAGGCTGCTCCAGGGAGGCGCCGGCGCATCCGGGGGACAGCGACTGAGGGAGCAGGCACCCGTGACCGAAGGCTATGTCCACCCACGGACCCCAGAAGAGCCTGACGGGAGATGAACGACCCCCTTGGTGGGACACCCCAGGGATGGGCTAGCAGGCGCCCCGGATTTTCTGGAGGAACAACGGGGAGATGAGACCTTGAGATACGCTTGGGAGCAAACAGGAGGCCTGGAGGAGATCGAAGGGGGCCATCAGGGACCATGATTCCAGATAATAGAGGACCGGTTGTATCGACTGACGGGGGCCGGGGAAGGGGAAGAAGGGTGAAGGCAGCTGGTGGTTCCCCAGGGCCAGCACAGAAAGGTCCTAGACCTGGCCCATATGAACCCCTGGTCAGGGCATTTGGGACATGAAAAGACGCTGGCCCGAGTCTTGCAGCGTTTTATTGGCCCGGAGTCTATAGGGCAGTGCGGGACTTTTGCACCTCCTGCCCCAACTGCCAGAAGCTCTCCTCGGGTAGGGTGCCTTTGGCCCCCCCTTGTACCCCTCCCCATCGTCAGCGTTCCCTTTGAGAGGATAGCTCTGGATTTGGTGGGGCCCCTGGTACCCTCCCGGCTGGGGTATCGGTTCATGCTAGTCATCATCGACTATGCCACCAGGTACCCAGAGGCTGTGCCATTGTGCAATACTAAGTCCCCGACCCTAGCCTCCGAATTAATCAAAATCTTTGCGAGGGTGGGATTCCCCAAAGCCATTTTAACCGACCAGGGCACGAATGTAACCTCTCAGTTGATGAAAGAACGGTGTGCCCTGTTGCAGATAAAAACATTCCGAACGTCCGTATACCACCCCCAGCCGGACGGGCTAGTGGAGCGGTTTAACCGCACCTTGAAGGAGATGCTCAGATTGGTTGTACAAGAAGGCCCATGGGACTGGGATCAGATGCTACCAGCCCTCTTGTTTGCCATCCGGGAGGTGCCCCAGGCCTCCCCGGAATTCTCCCCGTTCGAACTATTGTATGGGTGCCAGCCGTGGGGAATTTTAGATTTCCAGAAGAGGACTGGGAAACACAGAACACCTGGTGCCAGGGCACGGTGCAGTACATTCTGCAACGCCGCGAGCGGCTGCAGCGGGTTGGGGCATATGCCTCTTAAAGGCTCAGACCAGACAGGCCCATTACTATAACCGAATGGCCATGGCCCGCCATTTCGAGCCGGGGGATCAAGTGCTGCTGCTCTTGCCCACCAAGGAGTCCAAGCTCTTCGCGGAATGGCAGGGACCTTATGAGGTGATCCGCAAGGTAGGAGATGTAGATTATGAGATCCGCCTCTCGGGAAAATGGAGGGATACGCAGATCTTCCACGTTAACCTCCTTAAGAAGTGGGTGGCAAGGGAAGGGCTCCTGGTGGCACCCGTGAAATGCGAAGAGGATTTAGGCCCGTCCCGGGAGGATTGCGCAGAGGAAGGCTAGTTATTATCCCTGGGACCTGAACTCTTGGAAGAACAGCGGCAGCAGATGGAAGTACTCCTACGGCGGTTCTGCCGCATCTTGACAGCAGCCCCAGGAACGGCAAAGGTAGGGATACACCGTATACGTACCGAGCCGAGTAGTACGGGAGACCCACAGGCCCCTCCCTAGGAAGGTCTGGGGGATGGTCCACCAAGAAGTACTGGCCATGAAGCAGTGGGGGGGGGAGGTGATCGAAGAGTCCCAGAGTGAATGGAGGAGCCCAATAGTGCTGGTTCCCAAAAGTGACGGAACCGTGCGGTTTTGTATCGATTTCCAGCGGGTCAACACCATATTGCAATTTGACGCATACCCTATGCCCAGGGTGGAGGAATTGTTAGAATGCCTGGGGTGGGCAAGGTATATATCCACACTGGACCTATCAAAAGGATATTGGCAGATCCCGCTGGACCCCAGAGATAGGAAGAAGACTGCCTTCACCACCCTGTTCGGACATTTTCAATTTCGGCGAATGCCTTTCGGGTTGCATGGAGCAGCGGCAACCTTCCAGCAAGTCATGGACCAGGTGCTAGAACCCCTTAGGGGCTACGCGGCGGTCTATATTGACGATATTGTGGTCTATAGCTTAACCTGTCTCGAACAGCTAGAGGCCGTGATGCGGGCCCTGCAAGAGGCGGGGCTCACGGCCAACCCCAAGAAATGCCACTTCACCCAGAGGGAGGTGTCCTACCTAGGCTATACCATGGGTGGGGGGGGCGGTTAAAACCGCTGCTGGAAAAAGTGGAGGCCTTACGGAATTATCCGGCCCCAACAACCAAAAAGCAGGTACAAGGGTTTTTAGGACTTGCGGGCTATTACCGCAAATTCGTGCCTGACTTTGCCACAATTGCGGCCCCATTGATGGAGTTAACTAAGAACGTAAATCCTAACAAAATCCAATGGACGGCCCAAGCGGACCAGGCCTTCCGTGAATTGAAGCATAGACTAATCCGAGCCCCGATTTTAAGACAGCCTGATTTTGAGAAACCATTTCTTTTATGTACAGACGCGTCCGAGTGCGGACTAGGAGAAGTCCTGGACCAGGAGTACAACGGCAAGGAGCATCCAGTCCTGTACCTTAGCCAGAAGCTCCTACCCCGAGAAAAGAATTACGCGACTGTCGAGAAAGAGGCATTGGCCATGAAATGGGCCATAGAGATGTTGAGGTACAACAACTTGTGGGGAAATAAATTTAAGCTGGTTACGGACCACGCACCTTTAGTCTGTCTGAATTCCATGAAAAATTCTAACCCCCGCTTTACGCGGTGGTACATGTCACTGCAGCAACTATCAATTTGAAATAGAGTACTGAGCGGGGGCAAAGCATCAGAACACTGACTTTTTTTTTCCCACGGGTGTTCGAGCAAAACGAGGAGGGGGGTGACCCTATCATAAGGCTGGTTACGGACCACGCACCTTTAGTCTGTCTGAATTCCATGAAAAATTCTAACCCCCGCTTTACGCGGTGGTACATGTCACTGCAGCAACTATCAATTTGAAATAGAGTACTGAGCGGGGGCAAAGCATCAGAACACTGACTTTTTTTTTCCCACGGGTGTTCGAGCAAAACGAGGAGGGGGGTGACCCTATCATAAGGGGATGGGGTGACGGGCCACCAGCGACC